ATAAGGTCTTGGTGTACATGATAGTAAATGAGTACCATATTAATAAAGATCATGTTCATAATATATGGAACAATTGTGAGCATTCATAGCAAAATGGAAACCACTTTTTTGAGGAGCTTAGAAAGGTGCAAACCATCTCATCAGTCCCTCCTTCAGAGAATAATTCCCAAGAAAAAGAAAATAATTATCCAATTGTAGAATATTTAAAGTTGTTAGACGAGTTGATTTCAAGAGAATCATCTAGTCTCTCTAAGACCCCTTCAATTCCTGAATCTATTAAGATGAGTGGGTCTCTCTGGGACCATGTATAGGAAAAGCAAAAAAAGAAAAAGAAACCATCAAAACCCAAACCTGTTTAAAGTTTTGACTTACCTGAGATTTCAACTAAAAGTTCCTGTCAAAATTCTTTACTAGATGTCTCATATAATCTAATTGCCTCAATTAGAAAAGATCATATTGAAGCAGAAAAAGCTATATATAATCAGAAAAGTACCTACTAACAGCTCATCTTTCAGCCCATTATATTCATCAAAAAGTACTTCGCTAAGCCAGAATTTATAGTTAATAAAGAAAAAGAGATTGGAGGTTTTTATTAATCTCAATTAATTTAGCTTTGGAATTAAGAGTAATATGTAATATTTTTTCAAGCTCCTCATAGCTTATGTATTTTTTTTTAATATATCATACTTATTTAACTCCTGTAAGTTCTGTGATATATTATCCAGAGTTGAGAATTCATCACATTCAGGAGTAGTGGTCACACAATTCACCTCAAGCTTGTTCTTGACCTTATGCATAGTAATTGATAATATAATCTTTTCCATTAAGAGAAATTTTTAGCTTATTGGTTTTCCAATTCAATGCACAATTGTATTTTTTCAAAAGCTGATTAGAAAATATTAACATCAGCTTCTGATATTTCAAAACAATAAAATCTTCATGGATAGTACAGCCTGGGGCTAGAGTAATGGGTAATTTGCGAACAACTCCAACAGATTCAACTGAAATAGTGGCAATACCACTAAGATTGTATGTTTCAGATTTATCAATTTTAGCTCCCACATGTATAACAATATTTTCTGTTATAATAAGAGGTTCAGACTCAGAGTCTACTGTCATGGCTAGAATCTTTAAGTATTTAATTTTACACTTTACAGTTGTGATACTTGTTTTTGGCTCCTTCTTCTTAACAAAATCAATCTCCATTGGACCATCCAAATCTTCTTCCTCATCTGGATCTAGCAATACAACCTCGGTAATTAGAGAAGTATTGCTTTGAGATTCTATCTTTTCCTAGACTAGAGGTACTTGATTTAGTATATTAGCTTTAATAGGGTCTTGAGAAAAATGATTAGGAAAAATTAATTTAAGTTCACTTTGGAGGACTTTATAAATAGTTTCCTTTAATGAAGTTTTAGATATCTTTTTAAAAGATGATTTCTTGAAACTAGAGTCTTGCTTCGCTTTTTTTTTAACTTAGCCATGTTAATAGTGATATCACCTTCAGAATCAGAAAAATCCTCTGAACTTGTATTAGAGTCAGAACTGTTACTAGATGATATATTAGTGGTAGAATCCGAATCTGAGTCTGAATCTATAGTGGCTAGGTTAACCTTACTCTTTCTAGACTTTTTGCTTTTTTTTTTCTTCTTTTGAGAGCAG